CTGGTACAACTACTCAACTCTGCCTTTTTATTGGGAAAGCAGCCATACACAACATATAAATGAATGAGTTCAATAAAAACTTTATTTACAAAAAGAGATTGCCATTCAAATTTGACCTGTGGGTCATAGTTCACTGAGACCTCTCCGAATGGGTCATCAAACACTTTTTCCAGACCTTGTGAGAAAGTTAATTACCATGGTATTTTCTTTGGATGACCCATTAGCAAATTTATTTTACTGCCATTTTAACCAGGCCAAGGTTAAATATTTATTCAGCTCTTCTCTCTTCAAGTTAAAGAGATCCAATGGCTCAACTTTGAGAGCTGCCCTTTCAAGTCTATTTCTGTCTAGAGATTGATGCTCATTGATTAAACTATTCCTGAACTGGCTTCAATTTGCAATTGTACGATTGAAGTCCAAACAACAGGTGTGACAGTTCGTGACCTCTGAGAGGCAGATGATAAAATGAGATTAGATATACAAGACATTTATTAGGGGGAATGCCTGTAAGGGAAAATTGGGAAGAAGACAGAGTTGTCTAGGAGTACCTTTTGACTGGGATGCAGGTTTAATCACAGGGAAGGAAAGGAGATTGAGTGAAAGTCTTAGCCTCCATGGCAGTTGTGAGAAAGTTCAGTAAGGCTAAAGGAGAGCCCTTAGCCAAAGTCATGTGTCCGTGGAGTCCAACAGTTCCCAGGAGCAGATCTGACTAAGTATCGCTACCACAATGTGTCACTGGCTTGAAGTGGCCACTGGGAATTGTGCCCTCTGCACCAACACAGTGATGGATTTCAGAGCACAGCAGCTGGGGCCGTTGCTCAATAAAACCCCCATGGTAGAAGACTGGAAAGATGCATTTTTATGGCTATATGAAAAGACTCCACAGCTAATTAATTTGATAGAAAGTTAGCAAAGAAATGGTTCGGGCAAGTTTTACCTTATTAATTCAATTAAGCTCACTGAGGATAAGGATTGCTTTACTTATGGTCGTATTCTATACCGTACCTTTTAAAATCTCTTGCATCAAGGAGATACCCAAAATATACCTTTTAAAATTTAGTTAAATCCCATTCCTTACACAATGGTTCCTATATAATTGGAAATTAGAGGAAACTCAGCCTAAGTCTAAGGAACTGCCCCATAGCTACGCAGCCAGCAAGTGGCAAGGACAACCCCGGATTCCGGGACTGCGTGAGACGATGTGTAGGTACGTGGTAACAGCAATGGCAGCAGTGTCTTTTTTTTTTAAACATTTCTTTTTTTTTTTTTTTTGAAGATTTCATTTATTTATTTGAGAGAGAGAATGAGAGAGAGAGAGCACATGAGAGGGGGGAGGGTCAGAGGGAGAAGCAGGCTCCCCGCCGAGCAGGGAGCCCGATGCGGGACTCGATCCAGGGACTCCAGGATCATGACCTGAGCCGAAGGCAGTCGCTTAACCGACTGAGCCACCCGGGCGCCCATGGCAGCAGTGTCTTTATCATCTATAGAAAACATTCAGTTGTTACTATTAGGTTCACATTACTTTTGTTTTATCTGATTTCCATCTTACCCACTGCTTGGACCCATTTAGTGTCTAGAACCTTAAAGAGAGAAAGGAATCCTGAGAAAGGCAGAATACAGAGAAAGCCAGTACAGAAAGCATGTAGACTCTGATGCCAGATGTTCTGGGGTCAAATCTTTGCTCTAACATTTACTATTAGTTGTTTCACTCAGGGCAAGTTGCTTCTCCTCTCTAGCTTTCAGTTTTTACATCTTTAAATGAGGGATGGTGACAGTACCTACCCCCTAAGATTTTTATTAACTTATTAAATAGCTAATATTTGTAAAATTGCTTAGAACAGAGCTGCACACCAATTACTAGAGGTGAATTTTAATGTAGTTTGTCTATTAGTGCGCCTCTAATCAAAATTGGCCTGTGGTAGAAGCCAGAAACAGACTTACATGACAGGAAGGGACATGAAGAATGTCTGAAACTAACCTTTTCATAGTGCACACTCAGAAAGAGGAACTGGAAGTAAAGGAGATGTTGGCACAAACTGATAACAGAGTGAGAAAAACACTGCAAGTGAGACTAAGGAGGAAGGCATGGGCATGGGGCGCCATTCTCACCGCCTTGGCCGGCAACATTATTTAGATGTGCTTATTATCTGTTTCTTTTCTGATTATGATGCTTATTGAACACACAAGTATTTTTAAATGGCATTGCTGTAAAAATGTTTCTGCCACCTTTTGTTAAGTTCAAGTCTAGAAGGTCTAGAGAGAGGACCAAAAAGCAATAAATTACTTATCTTTATAACATCATCATGTAAAAGTTAGAACATGAAAATATATTGCAAAACCACTGTTGTAAGTTCCTAAAATAACCGAGAACCTGAAGTCAGTTTAGGAAAAGCAACACATACCTATGTGAAACAAAGTAAGATTAATATGGGAGCAAAAACCTAGGAGGAGCAGGCTTGCATAGCACAAAAGGATCTACTGGTCCTTTTTTATAAAAATACTTAATATTTAAGACTAGAGTGCATTTAGGTTAAGGAATAATTTAGGATTCATTTTGTAACTTGTTCCTGCATCTGTACTTGAGTGCACTTGAGTGGTTATGTCTAAGTAGAACATGTTCTGTCGCAAAGGTTCAACTAAACATCCCATATACACAAATGTATATACAGTTGCATGAAAATTTTTTGGAGTATCACAGCTTAACAGACAGCATAGACAGTTGGAAGACATTAAAATGAAGATGAAAAGAATACCCAGGATTTACTTAAGGTAGGACATAGCTGGTCTGAGCCATTGTCTTCCTTCTCTACCTCCCTCTCATTGCAAGTTCTGATAGATTCGTGACTTTTTAGATATGTACTATGTTTTAGCTATCTTAAAATTCTTCTTGGTGCACCCAATAAACTTTCATTGGCCTTTAAGGGCTATTTAGTTTTAGCTGTTCCCATAGAGAGAAGGTTTTTTTTTCTATGGATTTTCTCTACTATTTTCCATAAAGTACATATCTCTTAGCCTTAAGGATCCAGAACAAGTTATTACCTCTTAAAATCTTATATAGCATGCATCTTAATGGTTTGCGGAGAAGAGTACGCTAACAGTGGGGTTCCCCCTGCCGCCCCTCCCCAACTCCAATTCCTAGGTGAAAAGAGAACAAAAACAACTCAAAAGGATTTGGGGGATAGAAAAAATAAAACCCTGCCGTGTAGATCATTAAAACTTATAACATAAATGCATAAAAATTTCAAATGTTCACTCAGGTGTGGTAGTATTAATTGTGTTGTTCCAGTTTTTGAATATATAGAATGCTATGTAGGAGATGGTGGGTACTCTGTTCTTATAAAAACAAGAGAAAATACACTCATATCATTTATACCACCAGAAGTCAATGTTTGCAGATCACCAAGCTTGCTTGGTATGATGATAAATGATTTAAATGAAGTCTCATACTTTTTAGTTATAATACATAGTCTTCCCTTCCCCATCACCTGTGGTTATCAATGATAGTATGCAGCAAAAAATATCTTCCAAAGCCCATGTGATTTACTGCTCCAATGTAATCCACATTTAAGTTCTTATTTAGTTTAATTATTAGCATTACTAATCAAGAGGGATAGAAAAGGAAAGAAATGAGAATGCTTCCGTCGGAGTGCCAGATTCAACTCACCAGCTGTATCAATATGGGAAAACTGCTCAAACTTTTCTGACCTGTCTGTTTTAAATGGCTTTCATAAAAATCATTTGTCCCTGGGAAAGTTGTCTGTGTAATATATGATTCTCTACCCATATAAATCATCATTTTTCTTTATCTTTAAATATCATTATATGATCAATGATGCCATTAACAGAAATGAAATAAAATAGAAATAAGGTTCATCTTATTTTTGAATTTATATCGCTAAAATATTTAAACAAGTAGGCCATTAGACTGAGGCGGCTCTGATGCCTTGGGAAACTACGTAAGTAAATCAAAGCCTGAGCCAGAGTCAGTGCATTTAAATCCAAGAAAATGAAAGTTAGGAACAATCAATTACAGCCAAGGAGGCCCCCTCAAATAAGGCAACTGCTTAGGCTATAGTCCATCAAATAATTTCCTTGCTTTGCTTCTGCATCTTCTCTATTCAAACCTTCCCCTTAGCTCCTACAGTAGACTGTTCCTAACCACTTTCAGCTAAGCACTGCTCAACTTGAGTTGATGTATGCCCAAATAAATTCTTGAAAATTCTGATGAGCCTCAGTGTATCTTTTAAAATATATTTCAGCTTTGCTTCCAGAAATCAATTACAATGAGATAAGACTCATCCTCTGGGCTTCAGAATGGCAAATGGAGTAACCAAGAGATCATCTTCAAATCACCAAAAATATTGGCATTAAATTGTAATGGTAGGTTTGTGACTGATGATTAACAGGCATTTCACTGATTTGTACTGAAATAAGTATGACTGTACATAGAGAAGTATGTCATTGTCCAGGGTGGGATGACACAGATATTATGTGGAGAAAGAGTTTCAATGGACTCCTCGTTATAAAATCATGCTGAATAAAAAAATCTACACATTGCTGATCAGTTCATTTGGGTTTTCCTGCCTGTCTACTGACTGTACCAAACCTCTGCAGGTGCCCTCGTGGCCAGCGTACTACCAGACACGAAGCAGGACAGGTCAAAAATGCACATCAAAGGCACCAATTTGACCCAAATGGCTATTTTGTTTGACACATATCATATCACAGTTGGTAGCTGCAGTGTTTATTTGAATTTCAATGCTGATTAAGCCCTTTGCCAGTCTTGTTTTTGCAAATACACGCAAAGCTAAATATACCAACCCTCGTTAAATCAAAAGAAACGTGAGAGCGTCAGGCAGTCATTGTTGTTATTACCAATAAACAAAAAATGTGTATGTTTCCCCAATCTCCATGGTGAAATGCGCTCTGTGTTTACGGAGTAAGCTAAAGGGGGAAAAAATCTCCATTAAGAGTTTGTCGACTCTGGCTCAGGGCTGTACCTGGGTCTCAACATCTGTCAGCTTTCTGGTCTGCTCTGCGGTCTGAGAGAGCAGGCTGGTTCCTATCTCGAGCATGGTGGCCGTGTGGTTCTGAACTGCATTCTGCTGTATCTGGGCCATCTCCGACTTCATATTTTCCACAATGTAGTTCTCAATCTGGAGGAGATAAAGGACAAAACATACTACATTATAAGCAAAGTCTCTCGGAGCATGTGATATTTACAATGACAAAACAAGACACAGCTGGCAAATCAGCCATCTGGCAGGGATCCTCTGCATTTCTGGGAGCTGGGGAAATGGGACCCGAGCACACAGGAACCCAGTTGCTAACAAATTCCTAACAGACTGATACATAATATATAATCATCACAACCATAACGAAAATTTGTACTTGGATAGTACTTTCTTATTTTCTACAACTCCTTCAACCCTCACAACAAAGATGTGAGTTAGGCACAGATGGCCTCATTGTTTTTTGTGGGGTTTTTGTTTGTTTGTTCGTTTTTATTTGTAGCTGAGGAAACAGAATCAAAGGTCAATGATGAGCCCACGGTCACCCAGCAAGAATGCAGCAGTGTTCACACGATAAGTTAAGTCTAAATTTTGGTTCTCTGGTCTTTTCATTATAGCATATTGCCCACTAATCTCTGAGAAAAATTCAGCCTCCCGCTTTCATTGCTGTAATGAAAAGTAAAAGACCATGCTGGGTTAGGGGAATTACACAAGGAGTGGGAGGGGGGCAGATGCCCAAAACACAAGCTTTTAAGGGAATAGTAAAGTACAGGCAACAGTATACGAAACAAGCTGCAGAGCCACAGAGCCAGCTAAAACCACTCTCAGTGCTCCTTTGAAAGCTCAAAAATAAATAAATAAATAAATAAATAAATAAATAAATAAATAAATAAATAAAAAGGCACTGAAAGTATAACCCATAAAGCAGCATTTGCCCTCCTCGCCTTGGGTAACATTTAGTCCTCTATGGTGCCATCTTAGAGAATACTATGGTTGTAAAATAAATTGTACCATGGGGGCCAGGAAGAATTATTAAGTGACTCACTAGGAGGGAGGCTGCTAGGCACTGGAGAGAATAAAGCCAAGTATAAGCACTGCTTGAATAATACAGAAGAAGCCTACACCTCCCCGTCGGTGCACTTAATTCTCCCCCACCACCGTGTGGTGACTACATTTTATTACCCAATTACACATATGGGGAAATTGCATCCCAGAGAAGTCAGGTCCAAGGCCACACACCACAAAAACAGCCAGACTTGAATTTGAGTACTAAAGTCCTTAACTTTCATACCAACACTCTTAACCACTTGATAACTCTGCCAAGTTGTGCTTCACAAACCAGGTTCCAAATCATTAACAGCTATGTGATTTTTCCTGATTTAGTGGGCCATAATACATCCACTATTTTATAATCCATAGTAACATTATTGTCATGTAATAAATATAGTCTAAAGCTAAATTCCCCTTTGTGAAACTTTGGCAGCTCACTTCCTAACACCATCTCTTGCTTATTTCTATTTATCATAAATCTGCCCCAAGTGAAAGAAAATGAAAGGTTAGAATCAAAATCATATTGTTATTTTATTTATTTTTTTTAAGAATTGATTTATTTATTTGACAGAGAGAGAGACACAGCGAGAGAGGGAACACAAGCAGGGGGAGTGGGAGAGGGAGAAACAGGCTTCCCGCAGAGCAAGGAGCCCGATGCAGGGCTCGATCCCAGGACCCTGGGATCATGACCTGAGCCGAAGGCAGACGCTTAACGACTGAGCCACCCAGGCGCCCCTCAAACTCATATTGTTATTAATAAATTCTGACTATGTCCTTGGTCAATATAAAGTAACTCCCCTTCATTCTTTATTCCGAAATTAGAAGTAGAGGGGGAAAAGATCAACCTACAAACATTTGTTATAAAACAAATACAACATAGGTTAGAATAAATATCTAGAAATTATCTTGACAAAACACAAAGGTCTCTAACTTGGCTTTATGCCAATTGCACAAACAGATTTAAACAACGATAGAAAGGTAATGGAAAGGAGGATAGGTCAGAGCAGCAGACAGCTTTGTTTTGGATTCTGCATCATGTTTCCCCTTTCCTCATAACATGTTTTAACTTTCTTTTGGGAAGTTATGAATGGGTGTATTTTTATTTTTTTTTATTTTTTTATTTTTTTTTAAGATTTTATTTATTTATTTGAGAGAGAGAATGAGATAGAGAGCATGAGAGGGGGGAGGGTCAAAGGGAGAAGCAAACTCCCTGCTGAGCAGGGAGCCCGATGCGGGACTCGATACAGGGACTCCAGGATCATGACCTGAGCCGAAGGCAGTCGCTTAACCAACTGAGCCACCCAGGCGCCCTGAATGGGTGTATTTTTAAAAAATGGCAGGTGAATCTCCATCATGGAGGTCATACTCACCATAGATAGCTGACATTTCTCAATTGTCTATGTGGTAGGCATTGAACTAAAAGTGCTTTCTTTTTATAACAGTACTTAAACCTTGCAATAAGTTTATGTGGTAGGTATTGTTAGAGCTGCTTTACAAGTAAGACTATTGAGGCCTAGAAAATCCACAGCAATTTGCCCAAGAGAAACAATAAGAACCCCAATGCCAAACTCCACATTCTCAATCTCTAATCTATTCAACTTAGCACTATTTAATTACTCTGTGCATTTTATTGTGTAGCTCCTCAACCTTGTGTATCTATCAAAACTATACAAGAAGCATTTTAAAAAGGTACGGCACACCAGAACTCTGAATCAGAATTTTCAAGGTTATATACTAGACAACAATATATTTTAAAAGCTTCCCAATGTAATTCTGATTTAGGCAAAGACCAGTGTTTCTCAAAGTGTGGTCCACAGAATAACTGCCTATATGAGTACTGTTTGTGAACAGGCTGTCATGAAATGAAGAAACTGTGCCAGAATGCAAATTATCTACGTCACTAAGCTCACTGTTACTACAAATGTAGTGTGTGTATAGGAGCAAAACTCTCTCAGTGAAGAAAGTGATGCTCTAATGCTTTAATTTATGTTCTGGAGCAAGCTTCTTACCTTGTTCACAAAATGACAACAATTTCCTTGAGTAGCAGTGATTTAGACCACCAAATTTATTCAATGTCATATTCCCTGCTTACCAAGAAAGTTCAAATAACAACTTGGTTTCCCATGTAGATTTGTCTAGTGAGAGAGAATTCACTAATCAGTGAGCTCCAATACAGAGCTGCTTGATAATTATACACCACTTTTTTAAAGTAGGTTCTATGCCCAATGTGGGGCTTGAACTCACAACCCAAAATTCAAGAGATGCATGCTCTACCAAATGAGCCAGCTAGACACCCCTATACATCAACTTCTTCTGCAGTTGGTTACTGGGAGTTATTTCCCAGAGCTTAATTGGCTCTGGGTGTAATATAATCATATGTTTCAGTCTCCATAAAGGAGGACACCCTCTGGCATAGAGTTACTACATCAAGGTTCAGCTGCTTTGTGATTCTATCTTTGTTAGCTCCTATGTATTCTGTATTATTATGGTTTTTTCTTAACTGTAAAAGTTAACACCAGCAAAGCAAAGTAACTGCTTTATGTAGGCATTCATCACTAAGAGCCTCCCAATTCTGCTGACCCTGTTGCAGCAGTATAGTAGGTCTCCAACCTATACTAAAATTCTTATTTGGGCTGCCATGATTAGTAACATATATATAACTCAAGTTAATTATTTTTTAATCAAGTGGGGCTGCTCTCTCTAGGAGTAACTGCCTTTTAATGCAAAAGATAATGGCACATTTAAGAAGCAAAAACCAGAGGTAGTTGATTTAAAGGCTGAGGAGGGAGGCAGAAGTCAATATACAATGTGAGATTAATAAGGAGGGTTACTTTCATTTTATCTCTAAATATTCCTATGTAGATGTAGAACTGTGAAATACATCTTGATGTGTCATGTCAGCCAGGTTCAGGAAAAATTTGTAACAAATTCAATTGTCCTCATATATTCCCTACCCTTTTTAAAAATATGTTTGCAGAATATGATGGCTACTTCAGGTTTTAATATTTTAGAAACATCTAAGATGTCAATTTTAAGCTTAGAAGTTGCTGACCACAGATCTGAGAAATTATAAAGCAGGAGACTCCCAACTGGAAGTATCAAATTTGACTGTACTGCCACTCTCAGTGTCTGACTCCAGATAAAGTGCTGTCCAAAAGACCAGCAAGAGAAGGTAGGATGGCATTTGAAATGAGATAATGAACAATGAATGATGTTTAAAGCAAAGAAATAATTTTAAATTTGTGAAGTGATATAGTGTTTACAAAAAGCTTTCATATACATTGACTGGATTATTACACCTTAACCCTACATGGGGAGTATTCACTCTATTTTATGGTTTAAGAGATGGAGCGGAGCCTTAGGTGATGATAGAGATGAAACAGAGGACTCAACTCTACCTTCTGATGTTCCACCAGCTTCTGATTTGGGGGAACTGCTCTATTATTGGACTTGTTGGCTGGTTGATTGATTGATTAATGAATGATTGGTTTCCTTTTTGGCTAGTTCACTGAGAATTAATTTACGCATTCCTTTGAGAAAAACATACATCATTAGAGGGTGATTACTTTATTCTGCTTCACCATATTGGAGGCCAAGTTAATTTGAAGGGAGGTGAGAGGCTCTAGAGCCAGTTATATGGAAAGTTCACTTTGCTAGCACTTTTAATGCAATGGATCATTAAAAATCCTTTCATCAATTCCTACCTTTTTTGCTTAGTATGCAATTTATAACATATTTGTTTTCTTCTACCCATTCTATTTCTTGCAAGCTATTCTAAAATATAACAAAGAGAATAACAACAGCACGCTAAGCCTCTGCTAAGGTTAGGTTAGGTAAGTACCTGACTGATTTCCTTGTAACAGTCTAGGCACTGCATTGTTTCCTCATTTCACTGATAAGGAAACAGGCTCAAGGAAGTTAATGTAAACTGTCTATGATCACACAATGAATGGGTGAAAGAGCTGGTATGTTGCTTTGAAAGAGGCTAGATGGCCCTGCAGGTTATGCTCCATTCTAAAGGATAGTCACTCATCAAGCACAAGCACACTACCACTAATGTCATAGACAAATTCCGGTAACACATAATATTCATG